AAAATTGTGTGTGAAATTTAACTCCAGCAGCACTACTATTTGCCATATCATATATCCATTGACAAGTGATATATCATGTTATATCTCAGATGAAAATAAATCTATTCATGTATAATTCAAGATCTTTCATTGAGAAGGCATAAAACATCAGCAATTTTCCAAAGGGGTCTCTCTATATAAGCACTGTGTGGCGGCTAGGACTTTAGCCTATAGCTTTTCTCTAAAATATTAAAATTCATTTATTTAGGCATTAAAGTGATTTGTATTTCACTAGATGAAATAAGCAATCCCAACAATCATGATAAGGTTTCTGTAAGAATCTGGTTTTAATTTAACCTCTTCCCCTCTCTTTTTTCCAGGATTAAAGGAGTCAAGAAACCAGAAAAAGGAGGAAAAAATAGGCACTGCTTCTTGCTTTCAAGAACTCATCCTCCTACTGCAGTCAGAGATGCATGTTTTCATTAAACCATGTTCTTAGAGAAAGCTATAGCTAAAAGGCAAACAAATACAATGTAGCAAACAATAAATATGTTTTAATCAATATTTGGGGGATGTGTTTATTTAAAAAGCTTAAAAACTGTACTTTAACTGATCAAACCCTACAATAGCAATTGCAGAGAACAAGACAGTCTATTCTGTTGAAGAGAAATAATACTGATAATTTGTACGTTGCAACACAATGCAAACAACCCTTTCCTATAATTCAGGGTCAACTTAAAAAAACAAAAACAGACCTCTGTTGATGTGGTTAATTCTGTTAAGAGCAAAAACAGATACTAGTTTACAGGTGTGGCTTCCATTTCTACCCTAGTGTAGGCTGAGGGAGTCCAATCTGGATTGGGATCCTAACGAGGGGGTTAGAGGGTCCAACACAAACACACACACACAAACTCTGTGACTCATCTGGAGTGGGAAATGTGCAATTTTTAATCCAGAATAGTGATGCTAGGTTCCCACCATGGCTCAAGGGTCCACACCATGCATGCTTCAGAGGAAAAGAAAGTGAGCAGTTTTTTCCTTTAAAATACTGCCTGTTTTGACCCTGAGTCTGCCTTCAGATTCACAAGATAAATTATAAGTTCTAAAATCAGTCAGTAACATAATCTACTGTTTCAAGAACTTAAGAAATGCAGTAAAGGCATAAATACAGTACAGTCAAAGACAATATAACGCTAACATGGTTAAATACTGCAAACAAAGGAAAACCCAAAAGGAAAACAAATTCAAAACAAAATCTATAGAATTAAAGATACATAAGCAATATTTCCAAGCCAGAATGCACTTAAATCAACACATGGTCTCGAACAACAGTAAAATTTCAAAATAATGCCCGTCTACAAAACCCTGTGTGAAAAGTGATATATACTAATGTTGAAATCCAACAACAAGGGAAGTTCAAGAAAAATAAGACTTACTAATACTTGCAATGGAAAAGACACCAATATCCCTTTTTTACGGAAGAACAATACTGCTCAGGTTTACAGAAAGTGTTTAAATCTACAGAGAAACCCTTGGATCCCTCCTGCTAAGCATCTGGATTTGGACAGCCCCATCACCATCTGAGCTTCAGGAGATTAGTGAATCTGTGAAGCTGCCTGAGCACTAATTTTCTGGCTGCATGTTTTTTTTCCTCATGCAGCTCATAGCTGCATACCTTGCCTTTACCTGTTTTGAAAGAACAAGTGTTTGAAGGAACAAGTGAGGGTATCACATACATAAGTTTTGAAACCAGCAGGTTAACATTCTCAATCTTCCTATCTATTATGGTGGGGGGGGGGGTTGATTAATTTGGTTATTTTTAATCACAGAACTTACTACCACTGATTAGTAACCATGGAAGAAAGCAGTAAATAGTCTTTCAAATAACTACTAATAAATCATTTTAATATAAATATTACTTCTAAAATGCAGATTGTTCATGTACGGTTGCAAATACTAAATGTATCATAATGTGATCAGAATTCATCACTAGGTCACACTATATCTGAGAACAGGAAGGGAAAAAGAATGTGATTAATAAGGAAGTGGCAGTTGATTTTGAGCCAGGAATCCTTTTTTTGCCAGTGGAAAAAAAGCAGATTCTGCTTCCAAAAGCTTAAAATATGTCATTGTTCCCAGAACTTAACCTAGTCAACACCACCCATTACTGGGAATGATTTCCAAGGGAAAGCTATAATATTGGGTTCAATCCAGGCTTGGTTATGCTTAAGAATAAACCACTAAAATTTGGTGATTAATTTAAATCACATTAATTTCAATGGATTCTAAGCATGATGACATCTGACTCAAAACCATTCTATTCTCTTATATTCATTCAATTTAATAAACTCTTAGCTAGATATATTCATCTATCTTCTACTCGTCTCTCTCAGAAAGCACCAGTAGTATAAATTTGTTCAACTGGTGAAATATAGTTCTATATCATGACCCATCAGGTGCTAGAACAGTCCTGCATTTACATGAACATAGAATTGTAGATCAAAGGGTGTACTTTTCATGCAGATTAGTTAAACTATGGCATTCCCTTCCACAGCATGTAGTGATAGCCACTATTTGGGATGAATTAAAAAGGCATTAGGCAAGCCCCTGCAGAAGTGGACTACCAGTGTCTGCTAGCCCAGACGGCAGTAAGGTATCACTAGTATCAGAGGAAGCACGTCTACATACACCAATTGCTGGGGAACATGGCCAGTGGACTGCCACAGCACTCTGTTCCTACTCGTGTGTGTCCCATGGGCAGCTGGTTGGCCAATGTGTGGAAAGAATACTGGACTAGATGGACCCTTAGTCTGATTCAGCATGGTATTGCTTCTGTTCTTAATTAGATTCTATGCAACGTCGATTTAGAAATGAAAGGCATTAGACCAGCTTTTGGCAAGCTGGTGCCTTCCAGATGTCTTAGACCACAACTCCCAACATTTGGGTCCATAAGCCATACTGACTGCATTTCCCTCTCAAAGCATCTACACTTGTGGAAAGTTGCATTGTAACAATTGCTTTGGAATGGGTTGGAAATGGAGCAGTGATGAGCCAGATGAGGGTGAATAAACTGAATAAACTGAATAAACTGAAGTTTAAGCGTATTAATACTAATATATTAATGTTGGGAGGCTCTACTGAACTGTGTGTGTGTTGCGTGGAATGTTTGTTCTGAATGATGACTGCACTTTCCCCTTAAGAGTCAATGCTGTTCAAGCAGGGGAAATAAAGAACAACTGTGTGCGGTTGGATCTCAGCCTGCAAGGCTTGCCACTATTCTGACAGGCCAACAGAAATGTATATAAGATTCCCGATTCAGCTCCAAGCACACATGCAGAGTTCCTATGTGTGATGCATAGAGACCATGAAGGAGAACATCTATTAACCTGCCATAAACTAAACTGTAACTACAGGGTGTTTCATAAAGTATGCAGTTTTTGATTGCACGGTATTTTTTGTTTGAAGATTGTCAGCACTGTTCCTATCATTTTCGTTATCTATTATCACTCCAATTAGAAGACCATTTGTCGTTTTTCCATTTAGTAGCCATGGAGCAGTTCAGTATCGAGCAATGCATTCTTATTGTGAAAACTCATTACAAAAATGGGGAGAGCTACGCAGAGACTGTTTGTAAACTTGGCATGATCTTTGGATGTGACAATGCCCCTACCACAACAACAGTTTCGAGGTTAGTGCAGAAATCCGAAGAACCTGGGTCAATTGCAACCAGAAAATTGCCCAGTCGAAACTGTACGGGTAATTGGCAAAATCAACAGGGACGTCTGTGAAAGAGTTATCATTAATTTCAATGATCGGATGACTGCCTGCAGAGAAAGTGGACATATGCTCGATATCATTTTTCATTATTAAATTGAAGTATATGTTGAATGAAATTAAATAAAAAAAAGAATTTTGCTTCGATCTTGGCTCATTTATTGCATTTTTAAAAACTGTGTACTTTATGAAACACCCTGTATTTTGTAGAGTCTCATTAATCTACCCTCAGATATGACTAACAAGTCTCAGTTGGCAAATTCATCTTAAAAACTGGAACACTCTCCAAGGTCTGACCATTTTGAAGAAAGGAACAGGATGCTCGGTTTCCATAGTTTGCTGGATACCTTCCCTCCATGGCTTCAGAAAATGGATAGAATGTCCCTGATTCAGAAGGTTTTGATTGGGAAAGGCCTAATAGATTTTATCTGACTGTAGTTGTGTTTGTTCATTTATATTGGAGTGGACTTAGCCAATTATTTCTTCTGCAATTTAGTAATTTACTGATTGTTAGCTACAATGGGTACCTTTTTAAAATGGAAGCGTAGGATATTAAATAAGTTAATTCATTAAAATAAGAATTGATCAAGTTTCTGGAAGTATTGAATCTCAAATACACACATATATTCATTTAAATACATATGAGATATTTTTAGTAGTACTTTCATTTCTATACCTCCCAATAGCCAAAGGTCTCTGCACAGATGAAAACACTTTGTCCTAAGTATAATAATGAGTACGGATACAATAAAAATACAAATATGATAAAATACAGTATAAAATCCCACTATATAACATTAAAACAGTTTAAACAACTTAAATAATTTCAATAAAATGATTTAAGAATAAAAAGATAGGCACCCAATCTTGCATGAGATTTTAGAAAAGTAATGTATTAAATGGAGGCAGAACAGTCTGGCCCATTTTCTTCTACCTGAAGCACAGTGAAACCCAGTGCACATCTTCAGT